ATCTCAAGCTCTCCTCCCATGCGATTCTCCTTGTTGTTACTTGTACTGGTGTCTTTGATACTGAACATTTCTGATGTGGCAGAAAAACAAAGGTGCTTCGGGGCTCTGGCCACCGGGGATTCAGTTGCTTTGACCAGAGGGGTTGATCTTGCTGTGTAATTGCTTCTTCAGGTTATTTCTATGGATATCCATTCCGCCCCTCTCTAGATCTCATCCGGGTGTAACCTTACAGGTGAAGAACAGCAGCAGTGCTATGTGACCTGAGGAGTGCTCATGTCTTACATTAACGCGCACTACGAATGTATACCGAATAAATGGAATATGACGATTATCCGGTGGTCCTGGCTTTTTGTTGTGCGTCGTGCAAAGAGGCAGCTGTCACACTGCAAAGTCAACTCTACCTTTTATTTAAAATGGAAAGCCAGGCCAACAGTCACCAGGGGTCCTCATACAAGTCAAGCTGGGCTTCTTGCAGCCTTGGTTTTCCAGGTCTCCCTCCCCTGAAGGATGTGTCCATGTCCTTATATATTCTACCTGGAGCAATGGTTGCTCTCTTCCACCTAGCTGGTCTCACTGCCATAGGCTTAAAAAGTAAATGAAGAGAAACGAGTACGCAGAGGCAGACACCTCTCCTTCTCTGCTGGCTGCTGACCCACAGGGGTATCTTTGCAGGACAATTCCACGTGCTGCTTGTTTGAGCTGGAAGCTGAACTCACAGAAATGTTTGGATGAGGTTCCCTGGCCTGTGCGACACAGGAGCTGAGGCTTGGAAGACACCAACTCTTCCATGGTGTCTCTCTTCAGGGCAGAGCTGTCATGAGGGTGTAGACCAGAGTTCCACTGAGCTGAGCACCAGGAGGAAATCATGAAGTTGCCTTGGAAATTGATGTGCTGTGAATGCGGGTTGAACACAGCAAGAATGTTCGTGATCTCTGGAGCCCCTACGCTTTTAAGACGTGCTGTTTCCACCATGGGTAGTTTCAGTGAATAGCCTGGAGAAAAGAAGGCTGTTCAGTGCCTAAAGGGGGCCCATAGGAAAAATGGGGGAAAATCTTTTTAGTAGGGCCAGCTGTGACAGGACAAGGGCTGATGGCTTTAAACTGAAGCAGAGTAGATTTAGACTGGATCTAAGGAAGAAATTCTTCACGCTGAGGGTGGTGAAACCCTGGCAGGGGTTGCCCAGAGAGGGGGGGGAGGCCCCATCCCTGGGAACATTCCAGGCCAGGTTGGACGGGGCTGTGAGCAACCTGATGTGGTTCAAGGTGTCCCTGCTCCAACTTAAAAACATCTGCCTGCGCCTTCCTACATGAGCGTGCCTTCGTGTGCGGTGTCTTGCCACCCCAAACTCATGTGTTTCTTTCCTTCAGGGTCATTCCATGACTTTCTAAAATGCTGGAGGTAAGAACTGGAAGGGCAACAGAGGTGATAACATAACTGATGATAAACCCATGTTATTGTTTCCATCCCATGCCAGGAAAACACAATGAAACATTTTTCATTTCTCCTTCTAGGAAGACTTCGATAGCCCTGTCCAAAAGAAGTTGAAAGTAGTGTGGCATTTGCTTGGAGTTTTCGGGGTAGTCCTTAGCATTGTGGGAAGATCTTGTGTGATGGGTGCGTTTCTAAACTTCAGGTATGTGCGTGGACGCTGATGCAGAGAGGTGGGGACCAGTTTTTGGGGCGTATAAGGAGGTGATGTAGAGCTCCAGCATCAGCTTGGGCTCTGGGCCTGAGCAGGGTGACTGGAGGTCTCTTGGGGAAACTGCCCACAAGAGAAGATCGTCACGAAGCGGCCGATCCTTGCCCTGGTTTGGCAGTTTAAACGTTAGACCTAGAGCCTAGCTGTTTATTTCAGGAGCTGTTCTCATGGTTGCGTAGAAAAGTGGGACTATTTATTTTAGTGTGGATGGAAGCTGTTCGTCTGTGTACTAGAATCTCTGTTTTGGAAATAAAACGCTAAAACCAGCTCGTGCAGCGTTGAGTAAAGGATACGTGTGCTTGTGTGCCCTTCATAAACACAGCTGTGTCGGACACAGCCATGCCATCGCGGCTCCCACCAACAGCTTTTCTTGGTTGGAAAACCCAAGGAGAGAGCAATCATGCTCTGGGCAAAGTGTCTGTAGCTATTTTAAATGAATCACATGGAGCGAGACTGTTTAAATTCTAAAGGGGGAGAGCATTAACTGGGATGGGGTTCAGCACCTTCAGGAAGGGTTTTAGCTGACGTGGTGCTTGTGACCGCACCGGGTTTTAATGACCAAGGGAAGCCCCTGGCGGTACTGTATTCATGCTTATTAAGTTCTGTGCTACTGTTTGTTGAGGTAAATAGCAAAAGCTCGCATCTGGGGCAGGCGCGGAGGAACTGGGGGGATAAATTATCCTGGAGTTGGGACCAGTCACTTCTCTGTGTTTTTTGCCAGGGGTAGAGCAGAGCCTAGAGCAGGCTGGGAAGTTCAGGGTGATGGCAATGTTTTGGAAAAGGTTTCTGACCCCTGATGGCTCTGGGAGTGGTGCCTGCGGGCAGGAGAGGTCTTTGGGTCACGGGGGAGGCTGGATCCCACTTTAGAGCCCATTTCTAATCCTGCAAAATGCTGTCAAGGGCTACCGGCTTTTGGGAGATGGTGCCCACCTCTGCAGCGCCTGTTGGTTTAAGAGGATTTGTTGGCTCACGTTGCAAGTGCTCGAGCCCTCCGGGTGGCCAGGACAGCTGCTGCTCACGGCTCATCTCATTTTCTGGTTTTGCCCCGCCGCAGTGTCCCAGGAGAGGTGGTGGAGTTGGCCATGGGATGCAAAGGGGATCTGTGCTCACCTGGGGGAGACAGGGCTCCCTGGGCTGGGGCTGTTTGCGCGTGGGCTGGGCCATTGCACCAACACTGAAAAGAGACTGAAACCAAAGGGGGAGAGATGCCCAGAGCTTGCCCCCACGGAGAAGTCCTGCCTTGGGGTGGCGTGGGTACGTGCTGTCGGCCGAGTCCCGCTCCGCGTAGGGACACGGGATCTCTGATGTTAGAAACTGTAAATCCTTGATTCCCGTTAGACTCAATGTCTCGGCAAACAAGTGCTGTCTAACTGGGGGTCAAGAAGTGCCAAAAATAGAATGCGTTTGTGTGTGCTGTAGAGGGCACCTTATTCCTTTGTCTTTTGGTAAGGCTGAGTCCCTGTGGGGACCCGCAGATAACACTCGGTATATTGACGTTTTGATAACTTCTCTTTGCTTTCAGCCAGAATTTGCTTTTTATCCAATCTTAATAAGTTGATCTTTCTATCAATCCTGCTAGCAAACAAGATAATTGCTTTATTAGAGTCTCAATATCCAGCAAAGGACACACACTCCCCGGTGCTCCTGAGGGAATAAAATCCGTGCGGAGCGTTGACACAGGATGAGCGCAGCGATAGCGACGCCGGGCTATCGGCGGGTGATGGAGAGCGTGATTTCCCCGCTGTGATGAGCCAGGCTGCTCGGAGTGGAGATGCCAGCAGGGCCAAAGGAGGTCTAGAAAATATTTAGGTTTTAACTGGAAATATTTTCGTCCCTTTGCTAGAAAATGTTTAGGTTATAATCAAAAAACATTTTGGTCCGTTTGCTAGAAAATATTTAGGTTATGAAGGAAAATGTTTTGGTCTGTTTGGGTGTTTGTTGGCAGTTTGGGAGGTCTTTTTGACAGGAAAAAAAAAAAAAGCAAACAAGAAATTTCCTGACTTTCTGGGCTGGTGCGAGGCCCCAGTGGGGGAAGCTGTGGCTCGGCCAGCCCCGAGGGCTTCCTCCACAGGTGGGTTAAAGCTCCCCATGCAGGGAGGCCCAGCGCCTGTCTTTTAACGCAGGATGGAAAGGGAGCCAGTGGTTCCACAAATTAACCAAAAAAAAAAAAAAAGAAAAGAAAAGGAAAAATATGTAATTTCTGTCCGAAATAGTATGAGAGCAGAAGCAGGATTGAGGTGTGCGATGTATGGAAACTTAAGGCAGGTAATAGATACCCCTACCTGAGGAGATGCAATATTGGACCTGATGGTCAGCACCGCAAGTGAGCTCATCAGTGATGTCAAGACTGGAGGCAGCCTGGGCTGCAGTGATCACGCGTTGGTGGAGTTCACGCTCCTGAGGGATATGGGAAAAGTGAGTATAGTCAGGACCCTAAATTTTAGGAAAGCAAACTTCCAGCTCTTCGAGGAGTTAGTCCATAGGACCCCCTGGGAAAGGGTCCCCAGGGGCAGGGGAGCAGGACGGAGCTGGCAGAGCTTTAAGGACGCGTTCCATAGAACACAAGAGCTCTCGATCCCCAGGTGTAAGAAATCAGGCAAAGAAGGGAAGAGACCAGCATGGCAGAGTCAAGCCCTGCTGGTCAACCTAAAGGGCAAGGGGGAACTGCAGAGGCAGGGGGAGCAGGGACAGGTATCCTGGGGAGAGTACAGGGATGCTGCCCGGTTGTGTAGGGATGGGGTCTGGAGGGCCAAGGCGTGGCTGGAGCCGAACTTGGCAAGGGATGCAAAGAATAACAAGAAGGGCTTCTACAGGTATGTCAGCCAGAAAAGGGAGGTTAGAGAAAGCGTACCCCCCTGATGAACAAGAATGGCAACCTAGTATTGACAGGCGAGGAGAAGGCTGAGGTACTCATCAGCTTTTTTGCCTCAGTATTCACTGGTAACCTCTCTCCTCACCCCTCCTGAGTCGATGGACAACAAGATGGGGACCAGGGGGGTAAAGCCCCTCCCACTGTAAGGGAAGGTCAGGTTTGTGACCACCTGAGGACCCTGAACATACATAAGTCAATGGGACCTGATGACATGCATCCCAGAGTCCAGAGGGCATTGGCTGATGTAGTTGCCAAGCCACTCTCCATCATATTTGAAAAGTCACGGCAGTCAGGGGAAGTCCCTGGGAACTGGAAGAGACTGGTTGGACGGGGCTCTGAGCAACGTGATCTGGTTAAAGATCACTGCTCACTGCAGGGGGCTTGGACTAGATGGCCTCTAAAGGTCCTTTCCAACCCAAACCATTCTATGATTCTATGAAACCAGGTATACCTGGAGGGGAGGATGGCGAAGGACTGGGGGGCTGATGAAGAGGTAGAGAAGGACAGAGCAGATGAAGAAGTGGGGAAGGATGGACCAGAATACAGAACAGTGCTGGAAACCACCTACAAGAATGCAGGCGAAGAAACTTTGCGCTCAATGAGCCCCTGGGACAGCGGGAGCAGAGCAGCCAGCTCCAGCCCTTTGCACCGTGCCCTGGAAAAGCTTCCACACCAGCAGCCATCACTCTTCCATGCCAGAAGGTCCCCATGGGCGGGCGGCTGGGCTGGCCGGGTGGAAGAACAGCAGACAAAAGTCTGCCGTGTTTCCATCCTGCGTCAAGAGCTGCAAGCACCTTTGTTTTGGGGAAAGGTTTGAACAGGTTTTGACAAACACAAGATAACGCCCCACCACGGTGACGTTTGGGTCACTCCTCTCTTTGCTGCGATAAGAGCTGTCCTTTTATTGGATGATAACGTTTTGGTCTTGCTATCGAAGGCACGCGTTGCTCTATTCTCAGCTGAGCAGCTTGCTAAGGGCACAGACTCCTCAAAATCCTTGTGGCCCAAAATACAAAGAAACCCTTGAAGCTGGGGGTGTGCGTGGTAATGGAAAATGGAGGTCAACAGATAAGGGGGGGTCACTGCTTCCCGGTATAAAACCAGGGAGTCTGGGCAGCTCAGCCCATCCGCTGCGGTCTCCCCAAGGGTGTGTGCAGACCAGTGGACAACTCCTGCACCATGAAGTGGCTCGTCCTGGCCCTGCTGTGCCTCCAGCTCTCGGAGGGGCTGGTGAGGTGAGTGCCTCAGGAGGGCAAATAACAGGGCCCACCAGCACCCAAGGGGGCTGGCCAAGCCTAACCAGGCAGGGTGGCCCAGCCTCCTGCAGACCATGGTGGTCCAAGCCCGGGCTGCACCCCGTGCTGGGAGGGCAGCCCCTGGGGATGTACGAGGCAGCTGAGCAGAGGGCTCCCATCCTGGCAGGGTTCAAAGGAGCCCAGAGAACTGATCATTTGAAAATGCCCAAATCTTCTCCTGATCTCCTGCTGTGTTTTGAGTTGGTTTGGTTTTTTCCTCTGTACAGAATCAAACTGAAGAAAGCCAAGTCTATACGGGAGAAAATGAGGGAGGCCGGGGTGCTGGAGGACTACCTGAAGAAAATTAAATATGATCCAGCTCAGAAATACCGCTTCAGTGAGGACTATGTTGTGCACGAGACAATAACCAACTACCTGGATGTGAGTACCCCGGGTTCCCCTCTCGCTGCCTGTCCGTACATCACGCTCCCCTTTCCCGCTGCCTTCCCAGCTGCTGGAGCAATCCAGGACTCCTGAGCCTCCAGGAGTGAGAGATTGCTTTTCCCATTCTTTTTTAAGCTTCTGTTTCAGACTTTAGGAAAGTTTTCCCCCAGCAATGAAAAGCGATGCTTTTCTATATGTGACAGAAGGCACAACAAAATAAATATTTAATATGACTTTTTGGGGGAGAAAAAGCAGGGTGAGAGCTCAGTCTGTTCCTGCTG